CAGCTTGGGCTTCAGCTCTCTGCTGCCTGTGGCCATAGGCATGGTCCTGAGCCTTTAGTACTCGTGCTGCAAAATGCTCTTTTTGGCAAAGGTCAGTCTCACCTGGGGCACACCCAGCACTCTGGCTCTCCACAGCATCGCTCTGCTTTCCGCGTGGTTGATGCTGCCACAGCTGCTCATCACAGGGGATATTTGGGTATTCGGAGGGATGGTGCACACAGCAGGGGTTGGCTGGCCAGGGGCTGGCTTGCTTCATGGAGCCTGTGGGGTTCTCATGTGTGGGATAATCTCAAAAGCCCTTCTTTGTGTGACTTGGCTTGATGCCACCAGTTTTGTCCCTGGTTATTTTGGGACCACAGTGGAGTGGCTCCCTGGCACATGTGCCTGGGCTTGGCCACGGCTTTTGCCGGGAGCAGCCCCAAGCAGGACCTCAGGCACAGCAGCAGATGAGCCATGTGGGTCAGGCAAGGGCCATTTCTATCCTGCATCCCACCATGGGCTGCCCATGTCTGACTCCTTCTCTGTGCCCAGAGCTGCACCAGCCACCTTGACTCCCAGGCTGCACTGGGCTGGAGCTGGCCAAGAAAATGCAGCAGGTAGGAGATGGTGGGGATGAGGAGGGAGGTGTCATTTTCCTGCTCTGGGTTTTAAGCCATCCTGCAATTAGGAGGGACTGCAAAAGGACGTAATTATATAGGTAATTGCCTAGATCCAGGTGTAGCCCTGGCCATGCTTTGCAGTATCACACTGGTGTGTGTGCTTGGTGGGGACAGAAGGGGGTGATGGTTCCTTCTGTGTCCTACCATCTCTGCGCATGTGTCCAGTTAATCCATGCAGGCAGGTGAGACAGGATCTGACTAGTCACTTAAGGGTATAAAGGGCAGGGATGCCAGAGTAATGGGATACTCGTGTAGTCTGTGCCTGAGACATCCTAGGCTACAAAGCTGTCCTTCCACCAAAAGTCTGTGAAGTGCTGGGAAGTCTTCCTGGGACAGGGATGTGGATGTGCTGACTGGTTACAAAACATGCTGGGACTTCGCACACCAGGCAATGCTACAGTCAGAGATGGGAGGGGGATACTTGGTCCTATGTGGCTGTAAAGGCAATTGCCACTGGTGGGGAAGGTCTCCTGTGCTCGTGGAAGGCAGGATAAGGCCCAGTGTTGGGGGGAGTGAACCTGGGCTGGCAAGAAGGTGGGTTTGGCAGAGTTTGACAGCCAGGAGAAGGGATCTGCTGGGCTTGGTGGATTGGGAGCACAGCATTAGCAGCAGAAATGGAACCTTTAATGCCCACCCAGGATCTGGGGTCTGGCTGGCAGCTTCCACCCTGGAAATGGTTTGATTTGTGTTAATTTCAGTTAGTATCTTGCCTTTTCCACAAATTTTTTGCAAGAAAAGGTCTGGTTTCAAAACCCCATTGGCATTACTTCTGTCCCATCCCTTACCTGGAGAGAGGCAGGGCTGGGAGGATGTGGTGGGAAGCCCCAGGGAGCTGGTGAAGGGAAAGCAAGGGCAGGCATGTGGCAGGGCATGGGGTGTTTCGTTTTGATGACTGAGTGCAAATCACCCCAGCATCGGTGGCAGGACAGTGTTACCTCTGCAAGCTGGCTGTCCTTGTGACACCTGGGACAGGGTGTTTGCTGTGGTTTCCCCTGCAAAACTGATGGGCTTGAGGCACCAAAGGGCCCACAGCACAAAATCGTCTCGGGTAGGAAACAGGTCACACAAAACACCCTTTCTGCCGGGAAAAGCCTTTCTTGGTGTTCTCTGCAGCAGGTGGATGTCTGTTTTCCCAAGTGCTGCTGTGATTTCTGTCTGCAGACTGGTCCAACTTCAATTATAACTTGGGCAGAAACCACAAAGCTCAGTGCTGGCTCAGGAGGTGTTATTGCTGCAGGGCTGCTCCAGTCACCCAGTGTCACTGTTGATTTTCATGCCTGAAAGATGCCTTTTCCTCAATATATTTATTAACAGCACATCAAAAGTCAGAACGAGCTGGCCCCATCTTCCCCTTTCCCCCTGAAAATAATGGGGCTTAAGTAAGCTTTTGTGCAAGGGTAAGTCAAAGCAGCAGTTTGTAGTGCTTCCCAAAATCAGTGTTCTCAGGGCCTGGGGTGGACAGCAGTTCCTTGGTGGCTTGTAATTTAAAGTTTAAAGCCTTCCAAGTGACCCAGTGGTTTGGGACCTGGGCAAGAAGCACCAGCAGTGAGTGCTGGGGCTGGAGGGGAGACGCTGGGGGGCTGTTGTCTGAGTGCAGCCCCCCCAAATCCTCTTGCATCTCATGTTGCCATTGCTCTTTGGGTGAAAATTCACTTGGGCTTGGCTCAGTTTGGGAGAGGGATCTCATTAATTCTACTTCCCAGGACTCGGCTTGTCCCATTACACCTTGCAGCACAAAGCATCTGATACGGGATGAGTTTGCAGGGCCTTGACCCACGCTGTGCTCCCATCCTGCCCCATGTTGTCCCACCTCACCAAGTTTTGCAGCCACGGGTTAACCCACCCAAATCCCACCGCGCTGAGCCCGTGCCCTGTTGTTTGCTGCCATAATCTGTTTTGAAAAGGCAGCCCCTGATGCTGTTTCTTCCAATTAGGCCCAGGGAGATGATTCTGGTAAGGCAGCGGCTGGGCTAATTCACCAGGCAGACATTTCATTGAATTAGCCCGTGAGCTGCAGAGCAAAACCAGGAGAGCAGAGCCCGGGCTGAGGCAGGACTCACCAGCAAGGTTCAGCATGGTGCTCATGGCAGATAGCTGTGCTCTGCCCCAGCCCAGGACCTGCTCCCCAGCTCTTGTGGTAGTGCTTGACCCTTGTTGGATGGCAGGGGTGAGCTGGGACACACAGGGTGAGAAGGGGCAGGAGATTCTCAGCTGGGCTGAGAGTGCTGGCAGCTGGCAAAAACCTCACCATTGACTTGCAAACTCTGCAAATCTCCTGTGGACGTCATTGAAGGGGAATAAATATAGAAGCCTGAGATGCCACTCGTTCCCAGAGTCACTTTTCAGGCCGTAACTTTGCAGTGTGAGGCAACATCAATTAAAGAAAATGTATCTCTGCAGCAAGCAGTTCTGCACGCTGGCCCAGGGTTGTACAATATGGCAGGGTTCCCTCCCTGTGCCTGCTCCTGTCCGTATCAGGGCAGCATGACACCACTGCATAGCATCTCAAATTGCTTCCCAAAAGCCAGTGAGGGGAAGAGAAAGTAGCACAGCCTGGCTTATATAAATCCTGATTTTATTCAGCAGTGGTTTGTACACCATAAGGTCTCCATGTTTGCCCTTTGGTCATAGTCCCCTCTCCTGAGCTGCCCAGGAAGCTCAAGTGAGCAGAGAGAGCCAAGGCATCTGCTCAGGGTGGGGAATTTAGATATATAAACAACTTCCAATTCCCTTTTTAAGCCAGAGGAGAAATGGGACCGTGCCCAAGGGAATTGCGCTTCTGCGTCCCCTTGCAGTTTTATAGGCACAGAATAGAAATTAACTGCTAGGCTGCTGGTGAGCAGGATTTTGAGGGGGGAGGAGAGTAGAAACTTTCTCCTCTCTGAAAGCATCACCTCCAGAGAGATGAGGAAAGGCAATGCTTCTCTTCTTGTTTGTTTTAATTTCTGCTTATTTTTCTTTTTAACAGTCCCTATTTTAATAAGGAAGAGCCTTGCTCCTGAGCAGGGCCAGTGAAACACTGACCAAGGCAGCCCCAGAAATGGAAATGCCAGATGTGGGGCACGTGGAACCCTGGCCCTCCTCGAGGCAGTGCTGATCAGACATGTGGCTCTCAGAGGTGACCAGAGTCCCTCCCTGCCCAGGGTTGTTCTCCAAGGCTGCCTGCTCACTCCAAACCTTGGCCTAATTGGATGCTGCTCTCTGAGCTCTAAATCAAATCACAGCTCCCATGAAATGAAGTTTTCTGGATGCGAACAGCTGCTTGCATCATCCGTCACTGCCCAGCTCACAGCGGGTCCCTCTTGGGGGTCATTGAAGGTCAATGTCTGCCTTTTCCAGCTGCCCACCATCAACTTTTCCCTGTTAAGGATGGCACCTGGGGAGGTGATAACTCCATTGAAGGCTCCCTGGTGTGTGTCCCCTGCGTCTCCGGTGCCCCTCGCTCTTGGTAGTGTTTCAGGGTGCTTTTTGGTAACAGGGTGTAGGAGCTGAGTGTGTTGGTCTCTATTATTAGCTCTGCTGGGTATGGACCTATTGATTTCTCAGGGCTTTTTTTTCCCCCCTTTGTTTTGTGTGTGAGAGCAGCTTGAGGAGGAAATCCAATGCGTGCCCGCCTTCTGGCTTTGCACAGGAACTTTCCAAGAGCTGAAAATCAATTTGTGGCAGGCAGGATCCTGCAAATCACTGCAGCAGGGTGAGGAGGGGGTGATTTGGGGAGGATGGCTTGTCCCCATGGTGCCCAACAGCACATGCAAGAGCAAGGGGCCGGGGCAGAGTTGGGCAGGTCTTGTTTGGAAGCTGCCACCTCTCTCTCAGTTAGGGCTGCGTGGTAAGTGGGTAATTAGATCTCTTCGGCTGCAACCGGCTGGAACTTGGGCCCTATCAATTAGCCTTGCTCTGGATGATGCACAGAGGGACGCAGAGCCAGTAATGAAATGTGGTTATGCCAGGCATCACCCAAGGGTGGGGGTGGCAGGGGCGATGGGTGCACCCACTTCTGGCGTGCAGGTCTCTCTCACTGAAATTGCAGGGTTTGGGTGTGGGGTTGTCCTTTCATGGCGGTTTGGGTTTACCCACCTTTGCAGCACCACCTTTCCTGCTGGTCTCCCTAAAACCAGCAATTTATTCGGCTCCGCTGCAGGAACAGAGGTGGCACCAGTGGAGATGGGGACATTGGGCAGCCCCCTTGAGCTGACGGTGGGTTTTTCTCCTTGTCCTCTCTCCCAGGTCTGCCAGCGTCTCCCTGTGGCCATGCACCGCTGCCTGTCCCAGCCGGCTGTCCTGGGGCCAGCGTATCCGTAACGCCCTGCCTGTCATTTCCCAGGTGCCTGCGGGGTGGCAAGGGGGTGCTGGGGAGAGCCCGTTTCCCAGCGGCACCTAAAACATCGGCTGCTTGCACGGTGATGCATCTGCCTCCCCCATAATTAATTTTAAAGAGGAAAAGGCAAAGTGCTGACTAAGCCAGGCCTTTGCCCTGTGAAGCCGCGTGATTCAGGAGCTGCTGATGGCACAGCCTTGTCCTGTGCAGTATTTCTCTGAGGTCGGGAAATGCCTCCTTTCCCTGCTCCAAATTAAAGAAACCGTAATATTTACCATCATTATCATCTGCAGGACCCAAAAATATTTTTGCACCGTGCAGGATCCCAGGGGCACATGCTGAGCCCCATCCCCATGGGACACGGGGTGAAGCAGTGCTTCCTTCTCGCGGGTCCCAAATCAAGACAAATTCTCAGGAAGCAGGGAAACACGGGCAGGTGAAGGGGCACTGTCAAGCCACTGCTAACCTCTCCCTCCACTTCTTACAGGTCTAACGCCTCCGTTCCTGAACGTAAGTAGCCTCCAGGTGCCATGGCACAGGGATGGTGGTGGGAGCTGCTTGGCTCATGCCGAGCCCATGTTAGACCCATTGGTGCCTGGCAGGCAGCCGGGGTGTGTTTTTTTCAGCTCAGATTGCCACAGTTGTAGAGTTCAAAGCCTCCCCTCTGGCTTTTCCTGGTGGAAACCCAGGTTTGCTTCTGTGTTTTAAAGCAGAAGCTGTATTCTCTGCCAACAGGGTGGAAATCAGTCCTTTCAGCCCAGCAAGGGAGGAGGCTCTGTGGGTGGACCGCGGGTGTTTCCCAAAGACCCCAAGCCAGAGGCAGTGATAACAGTGAGGGGCCATGAGGCTGCATCTCAGGTGTCTTCTTGCTAAGAGGAGAATGATGTTAGGTGATTGACAGTTTTTTGGTTGGGGCGGGAGGAACAAGAATGTGATATTTTGGGATGCCTCATGAGTGTCATGTCTGTGATATGATGATGAAGCCATGGTAGATGACTTTCATCTTCTGGGGTGACGCATGTCCCTGTGGCCCTGCCTTGCAGAGTTTGATGGAGAATCGGTCGGATGACAGCAGGAACTGTTGTTATCACCGGGGGAATCCTAGCGACAGTGATCCTACTGTGCATCATTGCCGTGCTCTGCTACTGTAGGCTACAGGTGAGTGCTGCGGTTGTCCCCATCTTGCCACAAACCCCAGCAGTGGCAGTGCTCCTGAGACTGAAATGATGCTGCAGGAGAGGTCTCGGAGGGCGTTTATTGCTTGCAATGGACAGGAAGTTGAAATACCATTTCCCCCAGGTACCGCAGAATTATGTCCATTCTCATCCCAGTGTTGGGAGACTCCCCTAAGGCTTTTGAGGCTCTGCAGCGCTTGCTAATTTAGGTGTAGGCTTGGCTGGGCTTGCAATACCAGACTGAGATTTTTTGTGCTGGTTTTTTTTTCCCCACTGTAAATGAAATGAGGAGGCTTTCTACAGCAGCTAGCTACAACCTCCTGCTCTTTAAAAGTTAATGTAAAGTCTGTGCCATGCAGCAGTGTGATGAAAAGCACAGCAGTTATTTGGAGGAGTTTTCAACTGGCATGGTAAAATACCTTCCTCTTGCAAACCTCACTGGGAGGGGAGAGGACGAGTTCCCAGCAGCTGCCTGCTGCAGAATGCTCAGGTCTGGGTTTGTCCAGCTTCTGCTTTGCTGGACCAGGTACCGTTGGAGCAGATCAGCAAGAGGCCAGCAGAGGGTTTCTCTGCCAGGGGGATGAGGGGGCGGGGATGTGGCAGGGCAGGCTGTTAAGACGAATTCAGCTGCTCTGCTTCCCCTAATACAACCCTTTCCCTTTCATACAGTACTATTGCTGCAAGAAAGATGACTCTGATGAGGAAGAGGAGGAGGAGGAGGACGAAGAGGAAGAGCCAGACCTTCCCACACACTCGCACCTCGGCATGTGCAATGCCTGCAGCTCCCACATGGTGGACGGCCAGGGAAGCCCTGCGCCCCCCGCCAGCGAGCTCAACCAGCACGGGGCTCACAACTACTGCCCGACCTGCTCCCCCTACGGCTCCCCCTTTTACATCCGGACTGCCGACATGGTGCGCAACGGGGGCGAGAGGGTCACCTACACCCCTGCATGCTACAAGGAGATGGGGCCGCCCATTAACATGGGCACCCTGCAGAGCTACCTGGTGAGCCGCCACAGCCTCCTCCGAGAGAGCTTCCCGAACCCACGGGCTATCAGCACGGAGGTGTAGTCACCATTGCCACTAGCACAGGGTGTTCCCAGACGGCACCTGCTCGAGGGAAGGGGCTTTTCACTTGTCTTTGGAGGGGGGGTTCTGCAGAAAAGACCCCATAAGTCCAGCCCGAGACCAGCATGGTCCTCCTGCTGAACCGCCCAGCGCAGCTGAGCTTTTTGGGCAAGAAGACAAGAGAGACCTCAAATGACAACATTGAACCGGTCACCTCCGAATCCATCATAAGTGTCATTATTATTCTACTCTATCTCCTGAGGGGACTTGTCTAATGAGGGCTATGTACAGTACAACCTAATTTAATTACCCCAGGCTCCCCAACTCCCCAGGCCTAGAGTGAGGCATTGGGTGTCCCCACACAGCCACCCGAGGCGATGCCCACCACCTCTAGCACACAGAGTGATACGTGACCCCCCACCAGCTGCTGCCCGTGGCAAATCCCACTGCTGAGCTGGGAACAGCAGCACTCCTGGCCGATGGGAAAGCAAAGAAGGGAAGATCCAGATCATTCTGCTCCCCTTGTACTGAGTTAGTTGCCGCTAGCAGTTAGCTTTCATGTTCGAGTGTAAGATAGGACACCTTCTACCACCCGCTTCGGTCTTTGCACATTCTGAAGAAGTTCAAGACAGAGTTTATATCACTGCCGAGGGAAGCAAAGTTGCTCACAAAACCATTCACCCACACAAGTGGTCACAGGATGATCTTTCTGCAGCCAAAGTCCCACCCTCTTTCACTCTTCACAAGCTTTTTTAGGAGTGATTTTAACTTGGACCCATAAAAACAGCAAGATTTCACTTATGGGAAGAATTGCATCCCTAAATAACTGCAGTTTTGGTCATCTTCAGCTTTCAAAGACCTAGCCAGGCCACCCTGACAGCTCCGGACAGCCACAGGAAGGTTGGCTTTAGGATGGCTTTTGCTTTCGACATCAACAACAGAGACCACCAGGTCACATCTCCTCCTCTGAGGGGCCCACAACCTGCAATGGGAAAGACGCGATGTTCCATTGGTCAGGATCCCCTCTTCTGCTTTTGGAAGAAGAGGGTGCAAGACCCAAACTCGGGTTCACCGGCTCTGTGGCTGGTAATGACAGCCAGTGACTCTGCCTTTCTGCAAAAAATGAATGTGGGAAAGTTCCTTCTTCCTCCATAAATCAGATTAGGTGAAAAATTACTAAAAGGCCATCTCCATCATTCACAGGCACTTCCGTAGCAACTGGTGCAGAACTGCTCAGCTGAGCAATTCACAGTCAATGCGGAAGGACCAGGACAGCAACAGTTCCCACAGCCCTGCAGATGCTGCTGGAGGCAGTGATAGGAAATGCTTGCCATCCCTTTGCAATATAGGGTACCACTGCTCAGAAATTTGAGTGGTGGCTTGGTTTTTTTCACCACAGCAATTTAGAAATCATCCTGCTGCTCACAGAAGGATTTGGACTTAACCTTCCTGTTCATGCACAGAAAAAGTATAAGTCTTAGCATAGAGGCGTGCACTACATGAGTCTTGGAATGTCTACGTTATCAGGCAAAAGGCTAATTTACACTTTGGGCCTGCCCATGCCTTGGCACCTCTGCACCAACTACCCAAAGGAAGGAGACAAGACGAATGCCAAATGTGGTGACAGTCGTAGTAACCGAACACCTTGCCCCAGCCTGCATTTTACACAGCCTTTTGTGCAAACTTTACGCATCATCTTCCCCACCTCCAGCCCAGAAAGTCATTGTATTTCCATTATTCTGAGACTCAGCCTAACTGCAGTGCTTTTAGAGTCTCCTTCCATTCTCCAAATAGTGATACCAGGTTTTAAATGTCCTCTCACATTAAGGGCAGGCAGGCAGGCAGGCAGACCAAAGTTATCACCTGCAAAGCTGTCTGGATCCCACTGGGCAACAGTCCATGCTTCCCATCCAGCCAGTACTCCTCCCTGAAAACAAAGTCTGTAACTGGAAAAAATATCTTGACTAAGTCGGTAAATGCCATCCTTTTCCACTAGAGCATCCGCTTAACTAGGTCTCATACTGCTGGAAGCCACGAGAAGTTAGTATGTCCCAGCGTGATCTGCGGGCTGCCACCTGCAAAGCTCCACCAGACAGCCCTGAAATGCCGTCGCCTCAAAGGGCACAGAGCCAGCTCACAGGCACAGTGGCTCCTGACATCCAACTCTACCTTTTGGCACGCAGCAAGGCTTCCCACCGCAACGACAGCACATGCTGGGCTGCGACCACCGGAGGGTGGGAATAACACCGGGGCTTTTGCTTCTGTGGGTCACTCTTCTGGTGAAAACAACCGCATCATCCTCACATGCACATTAAGCGTGACCCGTCACTGGCTAACGAGGTGCCAAGGCTGGCAGGGCAGTTCCAGAATAGCTGGATAGCCAAGAGGGTTAGCCTCACAGGCAACACAACACCCTGGGTCTGGCACTGCTACAGGGAAACGGGTGAGTCTGAAAGGGCTGGAAACATAGGAAATAGCTGTGGGTTCGAAGGTTTGGGGGATGGTGGAGGAACAGGATGGGGTAGAGGCAGGGATCCCAGATTTTTTCAACTTCAGATTCCTCCTGGTATTATTCTGTGTCTTTGTTGCTCAGCTATGGGTCCAAATTCAATGTCAGAAATAAATGAGGACTTTGAAATACAAACAGGAGCGGTTTCTGTTCTTTGGCAGGCAACACAAAATGGGGTTACCTGGTGTTGCCTGGAAGCTATACTGATGAAAGAATTTTTCCTCCCCACTCTTCCTGCTCCTGCTTTTGTTCCTTGTGGCCCCTCTCCTCCCTTGCCTCTGGCCTAGGTGCACGCATCCCAAAACCACAGTTTCATAGTTTAGCTCTTTATTGTGACACAGAATTTTTCACTGTATTTTGGAAATTGTCCTTCTACTATAGAAATCTGCAGGGCAGACAGGAGAGATGGCTGCTGTTGTCTGTGCCCTGTTGCAGGCTGGCCTCTGGCCCCACTGCCTCCAGCTAGAGCTCTTCAGAGACGATGACAGTGAGACTCACTTCTCAGTAGCTTTTGAGGAACTGATGGGTTATCTTGTGTAAAATCCTCTTGGTGGAGAGGGAACAGCGATGACTAACTCCTAGGAATTCTTCCTCAGTGAGCAGGCTGGTCTACAGGGACTGGCTCCACACCCAAGCCAAGTGGTGTGGCTTCAAGTGGTAAAGTCTGGCTCGAGAGAGCTCTTGCCCCTTAACATGGAAGGGAAGTATGACCTGACAGCAGTCAGGGTGACTTGAGCCGACATGACCAGCAGCAAGCCTTCCTGTAGTACCAGTGAGAGCACAGCTTTACCTTCAGCACCAGCACACAGTTGGCTGTCGCTTTATCTTCACAGTCCTCTTCTGGGGAACAGAAGGGTCCACAGAAGGAGTTAAAAAGGAGATGTGCTTCCCCAGAAAACAGCTGGACAGAGCAAAGGGCTCCCAAGGGCTCCACTCCCTCCCTACTCTCCCACACTTACCTGGTGCCTCTGTGGGGCATGGCTGGAGCTGGCATGTCTGCCTGGCTTCTGGTTTGGAAGTAGGGTCACAGCCCTGAGCCAGTGCTTCCCCTTGGTAACACTTTACCTCACGCAGTTGCACACCAGCACCACATGTCTTGCTACACTGTCAGCATCAAGAGGATAAAGGAATCATGAGAGACATCCTTTTATTTTTCTTTAGTTTCCAAGTTTGTTCTTCCAGTGAGGCCTCCCAGTCCCTGCTTTGGATACTGTTTTGAGGAGGTTTGGGTAAATTTCACACTGATCGCAAACTTATTCTTTTTTGTTGCTGGAGCAGAGCCTCCCAGAGCTGGGGTCAGGACAGAGCAAGGAAGGTGTTTGCTTTCACCTCTTTAGTGCAACTTGCAATGTTTTTTTCTTGGACTGTCAATGGACTGCAGTAGAAGAAAAATGGCTGCTGTAAGCCAGGCCCAGTTTCCCGTCCTCCATTCCATAAAGGCTCACTAGTTAAATCAAGGGAAAGCCAGAACACTGGATGCTGGCTGTATCCTGTATGTCTGCAGTATGGTGCATGCTCTTGCTTGAGGCAATAATCCACATGCTAGAAGGTTTTCCCCAGCTTGTGTGTGCCAGTCCCTTCACCTGCTGCCTGGTCTGCAGAAGAGCAGAGCTTATGGTCCCACCCAGACCTGACAGAGCCATCAGCAGAACAGCCTGCTAGAAAACCTCAATGCAGGTTGCGCTCCACCAACCAGGATTATGAGGCCTCCTCTCCCCCTTCCCCACAACCCTGAACCCTACCTGAGACCATGAGGTAGTGAACCACGTTGCACAAGGCCTCCTGAAACAGGTAGCTTGTTCCTCAGGTTTCTGAGAAGCTTCACAGTGCTTCTCAGGGTACTCCCTGTACACTCCATTCTCCAGGCCTGCACACAAGACAACCCGGGTCTTCACCCCTCGCCCACAGCTGGCATCACACTGGGAAAGAGAAGAACATAAAAGCCAGGTAACAAATGATGCTTGTCAGCTGTAGAGCTTCAAGTAGTATGGTATCCTGCTCAGAAGCAAGGTGCATAATGTCTCTGCTAATACCAGTCTAATGGAGCTAGCACTGCCTAGGTCACAGCAGCAATGGGTGTCTGCAAAAGAGCTGAGTTTCTTAGGGAGCGGGGACTTCCTAATTAGTGGTAATTAGTGTTTAGCCAGTGCTGGGGATGCGAATTCACCTCTGCTAGCCTTGAGAGCAGCTAGAAGGGATCTGGAGTAGCCAAGGTAAGACTACAAGATGCTGTTTCTGTCTTATTTTATGTATATCTATGTTCTCAAAAAACACGTAGCCTATTCATGTAGCAACCTATATTTCGGAGTACTGACAAGCTTTGTGTGGGACCCAGGGGACTAAACTGGTACAGTGCAGGTAAGTTGCATGGACAGGTACTACTGAGCCCAAAGCTACATGTGCCTAGCTGGGAGGACTCACCCTCTCGGGACACCACCAAGAGAAGCAGCTCATTCTATCTTAGCTCTGCTTCCTGATGCCCATGGAGACAATTGCCAGTTTCAGATTTCACTGCTTTGTCCCTTCTTCACCACAGCAGGGCCAGCATAACTAGCCTGTATCTGCCCTTAGTCATCCTGTGAACTCAGAGCTTAGCAGCTGAGAGGGAGAACACAGCAAAGGCAAAGAACCTGGCACATACAAAGGTAGGGAATTCGGATTCAAGAGAGTTTAATAACCTGCTACAGCTGAAAAACTGCACTGAAGTATTGTCTGTGACCCACACTACAGGCCAGAGCTGAAGAGGGTTACAGAACTGCCACGGATCCCCAGGTTTAACTAGTTTGTGATCATTACCAGTGCTGGAGGGAGACTCAGATGAATGTAGTCAACAGCTATAAATGATAGTAAAATGAGAACAGAGACAAGACTTGATTGCTTCTCTGGTTCCCTAGAAATCTTTTTTCTTAGTACTCTGTGAATCCGTGTTTTGCTCAGGACTTTAAAGACAAATCCCAAAATGGACTCAATGTGCTCTTCTAGGTAAGCTGGGATTTGGATCAGCTTGTATCAGGAAGCCTAAAGCCTCAGGGCCTTAAGCAACAGAAGGGAAGAATGAAGATCGACAGAGACCAATTGACTGATTGTTAGAACAGGGCCCCTGGACTATTTTTACTAGACTGAGTAAAAGTTCTGAGGCAAGTACACAGTCAATGGCCTGGACACGACTTCCAGGACAGAGATGTGGACTATAGTTCAGGTTTATCTTCAGATATTATTTATCAGAGATGAAGCTGTGTTTGTTGAGGCTTTCTCTTTAGCATGTAGGACCAAACTCTTGAGATGGGTGAGTGCAGGTTCTGGACAAATTGCTCTGCTGAGGTGTCTACAGAAACCCAGCTATGAGCCAGAAGTGGAAGAGTGTAGTTTCTGTAGGTCACTGCTGCCCTCCAATGGAGGGCCCTAGGAAGACAGCAAATGGCACAGACTGTGGCAGACTATAGGGTATTGGAGGCAGGGGACAAGCTGGGGTATTCATTACTCCTTCATCCTTTCTAAAAGGAACTAGGAGAAGGGTACAGCCACAAGGCTAGAGGTCACACCATACAACCTTATTCCAAGGCAGCCAGGCTCCTACTGTCTCCTATGGGATATAGGGTGGAAAGGAGGGCTGAGGACACAGGGCTGTGCTTGGCTTTACCTGGTCCCATTCCTGCTCCACCCAATGTGCAGGGCAGTTCTTGTCTCCACACGGATGGACAGCCAGGGGCTTCGTGACTGGGTCACACTGTGAGTCGGAGATGACCTTGCCCTCTAGGTTGCGACACGCAATGAAGCGGCTCATGCGTCCCTCACCACACGAACCTGAGCACTTGGAGGAATAAAGGGCATTTAGACGCATCAGAAAGCAGGAAGGTGGAGGGGTCAGGGTTGGTGGTGCCAGGAGACCTGAGTCCAGAGCCTGGCCCTGCCACTGGGACTGTGGCACTGGATCCCAAGGGTCTTTAGAGGTACATCTGGTCAGGGGCTTTCATTTTCCTGGTGCCATGAGCTTCCCAGGTAATGGAATGTAACTCACCTCACAGCTAACCAAAATTTACAGCATGAAGAGGCAAAAATACTCTAGTTTCTTTAGATTAGCCTCTTCCAGAAGAAAGCCAAAAGAGAGCAGTAGCATGACAGCCTGCCTGCTGCCTCCTGCCAGTCCTGTATCCCCAGCATCAGGTACAAGCAGAAGCAGACCCTCAGCACTCACCGGGCCCCAATCTGACGCAGTCCAGTGGCGGTCGCAGGGTGGGCCTGTGCAAGCCTTCTCGCTGCTGGGCTTCTGGGACTCATCACAGAGGGGCGCTTCCACCGAGCAGCGCACCTCCCGCTTCATCATCCCCTGAGTGCCACACCGGGCTGAACACTGCAACGGCCATACACAGTCAGCCCTGGGGCTGAGACCAAGAAGAATGAGCAAAGGTGAGGGAGGCAGCTATGCCTCCTCCCATTTCCTTCTGCAGCATTAGGTGAGAGGGGAAGAGCACCAGCAAAGACAGGAAAAGGTGGGTCCGTCTCTATCTCTACTGCTTATTTAATTTGGGTCATAGAGTTCCAACGCTCCAAGATGCTGATACCTGGAGTGCTGTTCAAAGTCACTAGTTCACTGGCCCAGTACCAAGCAGACTGTGGAAAGTTAATCAAAAGAATTTTGATTGAATTTTAGCTTCTCTGTGTCTCCTTGCTACCATTTCCCTATTTGCTCTTAGAATCATAGAATTGTTTATATCCTCTGGAAGAGGGAGGTAAAGCCTCTTGCTTGCAGGGCTTTAATTGGGTCCACATCCTGCTTGAGAAGTGACCTTAGAAAAAAACGTTTTGCAATGGATTTTGTCTGCTGAGCAGTGCCAGAACAGAATAGCCATGCATAAAGGCAGTCCTTGCTTCCCCAGGATGCAGGTAGCCAAGGGCTTCTTTAGCACCCAACATCTACCAGCCACCTTCCTCCAGGCCCCAGCCCAGCCCTGGTTGCTTACCTCTGGAAGCAAAGCTCTCCTGCTGCTTACCTACCTCAGACCACTCAGAGAGCTCCCACTGGGGCCCACAGGCCTTGTTCTGGCAGGCTTTCCTCTCCATGGGCCTGGCCAGCCCAGCTGACTCACAGAGGTCATCATAAACAGAGCTGTCGAAGCCTGGAGCCAACATCTTCCAGCAGCGCACAGTGCGGTACTGATAGCCCTCACCACAGGTTCTGGAGCACTCACTCCACCGGCTGGTCTCCCACCTCCACGGGCAGTCCCAAGGAGAAGGCACAAAGGAAAACCCAGGTAAGGGAGACAAGGGGCATGGGGTGGCTGGGGAATGCCTGCATAACTGGAACCCCATCACCCAGTAGCTGCTGCTATGAATCTGCTCATCACATACATGTTTGTGTTAAGGCAATGCTGGTCTAACTGCAGGCAATTTAGACAGCAGATTTCTTCCCTCTTTTTGCTTAAAGAGGATACTTTCAAGTTTAAGCATATCTTTCAGCCCAGAAATGGCTGTATACATTGAGCAAAAAATGATCCTTAGAAAGACATCTTGTCCCTGTGGATAGCTGATGTCATTTCCACTCACCTAGGCTGGCAATCTCTCCCTGTGCAAAATTCATGAGTAGGTTCTGGTCGGGTTAGGGCATCACAATATGTTTCATCCACTTCCACTCCATCATACCGGACACACATCGCATAAGAGGCACTGATACCTGCTGGGCAATCAAGACACTCCCTTGGTCACACTCCATTGGATTAAAAGCCTCCACTCACCATGATTAAGTTACTGGAGTGCTCACTGCATCTGAAATGCTACCTGCCATTTTAAAAAATACCAGTATTCACCCCATCAACGCCAAAAAGGACTTCACATGATCAGTCACGTGAAGCCAAACCTACCTGAAGTGCATGTGGAGCTGCAGGGGGCATAAGCTGAGACTTTCCACCGATACATGTCAGCCAAGCTTATGTCATCATGGCCCACAGGGCTCACATCAAACTCATTGCTGTGGAAAAAGGAGGCAATATGAGCTAAAAATGAGGAATTGCCACAAACATAATATATTGAAATTCCTCGTCAGTGTCTCTGAAGATGGGAAAAACCCTAGCGTTTCTGCTCTCCACCTCCCCCACCTTGGTCAAGATGGACCACTGATGAACAGAATGTAAAGCCTTGATCCACCTCCTGAATTCAACAAGCAAGGCAGTGTGTCATCACTGTTGAGAGGAGGCAACACTCATTATGAGTCTTGCGTATATTATGGTCTTTTGACCAAGCGGGTGCCCTCAGCCTCAGTTCACACTATCACCTTGAGAGGTATACTAGGTTGGAAAGGGGAGCTCAAGCACGGTCCTTCTTAGTATATAATTTGGTGAGAAGAATTCACATGTGGCTTGCCAGAAATGTTTAAAAATTGGCCCTTATTCTCCTGCCAAATATTTACTGATGTTACAGAAGCTTCAACAAGCTTATGTGCTCAGAGGAATGGAATAGAAGCGGCATGATGTAGTGGTAAACACATGACATGCTATAGACTCCTAGCCTTCTTTACAACCACATCAGTGTTGGCTTCACAGGTCCTTCAGCATGTGTTTAAATGGATCCCCTAGATGCAGGGGACCTGAAATACATTCTGGGAGCTGTGTGTCAGGCCAATTGTAACAATCAGTCTTTGAAGGACATACCATTGGTCAAGCATCTACAACAGCTGCCACAGGCAGACACTGGTGAATGGGGACATCAAGGACAGCAGTGGGACTACCAGAGGACTGACTTGTTCTTCCCTCCCTAGCTAACCATGCATTTGTTTTGCCCATGAAATCAAGTGCCACCTTTCAGTGCCAGGAGCTTGCAAAGGCTCTGCTTGGCTGATGTCCATGGTTGGGCTGGCACCCAGCAGAGGGCTCTCCACAGGTGCCATCATGCTGGAGTTGGCTGCTTCCCCCTGACTCCCAGCAAATGCATCCACCTTCAAGTCTTCCAGTGAGTTCTTACGGGCCGGCACTTTGTGGAGGCCCTGTGGCCACCGAGCAGCTGTCTCGGTCCATAGTCCTGCTGTGGAGTTTCTTGAGGCCAGCCTGGCCAGGTGCTGCAACTCCCTACAGAAGGCAGTGTTGTATGTGTCTCGGTGACACAGGCGCCTGAAGAGATGAAGGGTGGAGGATGCTATGTGGCTGTTCTCTGGGAGCTCGGATCTCCTCATGCTGTAGGGTACAGTTGTGCTGATGGAAATCTGATTAAACCTAAGAGCTGGAAAAAAATACAGGCATGCTTGAACTATATTGAATGGCATATACTTCAGCATGTGGTATTTAACAAGACAAAAGAACTTATTTGGCCTCAAAATCACTGGTTTTGTTTGGGGTTTTTTTGCCACCAGGGAGCACCAACAGGCCTTAACTGCCCTGAGCAGCTTCATATACACTCTGCCCATTGCTCGGGAGCTCCAATTAAGTGCAGGCCTGGGCCTTCATTTCTGGTGTTCTTTCTTCCTAAACTGTTGTTTGGCTTCCCCAGACTGACCTCAGATTGGACTTCTCCCCTTGTTTTTACCTGATGATCTCTGGACTGCTTCTGTCCCTGCCCTGCCTGCCAAGCTCAGGTGCTTTGGAACTGCTCTGCCTAAGAGGGCATTGACTGATATCTGCTGCAGTTACTCTCTCCCAGCTCCCCTTCCCTAACAGTTACTAGCCCTTGCTGCTCCCTGACAATCTCCACCCCACTACCAAGTGTCATTCCCTCCTGTCCACCCTGATGGTAAAGCCACCTTAGATTTCAAGAAGACCAGTGTGGTATGTCCTCTTCCAATGAATAAATTGGGAGAGAAGGAGCGACAAAGCAAGCAACCCAACTCTCTTTCTCCACCAACTGCTGCTGCTTCCTCATCCTCTCCTGCTGTGTTTGTGGGATATATTTGTCTTATCTGGAAGTCATAGTCCTTCTCTTCACCTTGCTTCCAGCCCCAGTCCTGAGCCTGACTGGTGGAGTTGGTCTGGAAGAAGTGTGGGTGACCCAAGCCTAAATCTTCATGCCCTTCTCTTAGAGGAAGCTGTTCACTGGTATCATCTGGCGACAGAGTGAGCCATGTGGTGTTGAAGTCCTGGGCAGCTCTGGAGTTAGCTGGAATGGGATAGTTCTGGCTGGTCTCTGGTAGGTGGTAGTAGAGAGGTCTGTCTATATCAGGGGCTGCAGTTTGGAGAGGCAGTATCCGTGGTACAGTGTAGTCATAAGTTATGTGTGGCATTTTCCCATTGAAGTTGTAGTACTGGAGGAAACGGAGCAAGAAAACAAAACTCTCTTTATCTTAAGGGCATGTATTTCCCAGAGAACTCCCCTAGCCACAGCCATCTTGTGATGGATGATAAAAGAAGACAGCATCCTCATAAATCCAAGAGAAGTACACACAACCAAACCAATATATGGCTTCCTCAGCCACCTACCAGGTTGGCTTGGGAACCAGGTTAATATTCCCCTTGTCTGAGGGAGGCTGACAATTTTAGTATAGGCAAGACAGGAAAGCTTAAAACTACTTCTTTACATACCATGGCATTCAGAGACTGGTTAGTGGGTCCGTGAGCTATGATATACTCCAGTCCATCTGAGTTCAGGCTCAAGGGCCGCCGGTACTTGAAGACTGTGCCAGCTACCCTGAAGTTCTGAGGGTTGTCAATGGCAGAGTTACCATTGAAGAAGAAATGTCCAGATTCATCTGCAAGTGCTTCAAAGAGAGAGAAAATGGGTAAATGTGATAACTCTGTGCAGAACACTGGGGCTGCACTGGTAACTGAGAAGAGCAAACAGCTCAAGAGCAAGAAAAACCCAATAGAAAAAGAACTATAGGCCTTCCAGCATTCATCTTCCACATTAGGTCAGCAGTGCTCAGTGCCTGGTGCTTTCATTTCCCTCTCCAAGAGCACAAATGTCTTCACAACAGGGACAGTCCATAGTGAGCTGTTTCCAAATGTCCCTCTTGCCACTGGTTGCTGGAGATATAACTTTGATTTATGGATAGATGAAGTGCCCCTATGCTACCCTGGAGGAAATGCTCACAGATAGCTCTCTCACAGGATTGATGGGAGCGCACAGAGCCTTCTTCCCACCTCCCAGGCAGCTGAACTGGGATCTCCACATCCATCTGGTTCCTCTGCTTACCTAGGATGTTTTCTGTTTTCCTGCGCTCAATGATAAGGATATCTGTAGCACCAGCTGGAATGTTGGTGATGAACACATAACCTGATGAACAGAACAGAGTGTGAGGAAACCTCTAGGACAAAATAAAAAGGTCTGGGCAGGAAAAGCAGCTTGTAGGACAAGTGTGTATGTAGGAGGGCAATGCTGCCCTTCAGGGGCAGGACTCTTATTTGCATTACAAATCACTACTACAGATCATTAAGGCTCAGTCTGAGCACTGCTGGGTCTGGAGTGAAGAAGGAGTTGCACAAGTATAATAGCCTGGCTTTAATGTGTGGTTGAACGTGCTGTTGCAGTCTTTCTGGCAAGAGCAGAGAAAAAGCTTACTAGTGATCAGGACTGATGCTAAACAGAGGATGGAAAAAAACACAGGGCCCTTCAGCAACTGGCTCAACAGGATTTGTCTCAGGAGCAGCATAAAAATTGACCTTTAAAGGGAGAGGAAATAAGAAGGCTCTTAAAAGTTGTGGGTTTGGCAGCTTGTCTTTCCTGCTAGAAATGCAGGTCTTGTCCATTCTGTAAGATTTTATGAGGACTGGAACTGGAAGCCAAATCCATACATGTACTGCTGGAGAGGTTAGCACCATTACCCCTGCTCTGGAAAGGGGCCTGAGTGCTTTCCTAGTCTGGTGTCTGTAGGGAGTGATGCAGACTAGTGAAATATCAACAGTGTGAAATGTTCCAAAACACTCTCAAACACCAGTTAATTAACTACTACTGAGTATACCACAGTCTTTTCCTTCTGTGTGTGAAAGAATGGGCCACGAAGTTGCAAGGGATGAATCTCAGCCCAGTTTCACGGGGACTTCTCTTCAGCTGTGCCAGCCATAAGACTGGGTAAAGCAGGAGTCTAATTGAAGGCTGAAACACTGTGACCCTCACCATAGGAGCTTAAGTTTCAAATGAATACATAGCACAAATATAAAAAGATTTGTTGATCTCTTCACATTATCTGAGGTAGACAAGATGCCAAAATCAATAGGAACAAATAGATCCCCAGCTGCTTCCTGTTGTAAAGAGGTGAAGGGAAACCTTACCAGCCTAATATACAGCACATCAAAACCCATCTCCTCTGGTGAATAAGTGAAAAGGACAAATTACAGGCATTTAAGCAGGCATGGTACTCTTCGGGTCTTTCCATCAAGCAGCTGGGAAACTCCTACCCGCATCCAAGCCAGTCACCCTTCATGCCCGCTGGTGTAAGAAGTAACAGGTGAAGTCTCCAGACTGTGGTAGCAGGGAGTACCTATCTGTGAGACTGCCTTTCGGAAGCTGCCCGAGACACGGTGGCAAGTGCTGCCGTCCCCTCCACACACCCTGCATCTGTCCATCGTCCGGGGTGAGTACAGGCTCCCATCGCACCCAACTGGCTGCAAGGAACAGAACAAGAGAGGGTTTCCCTGGGCCAGTATATCTCCACAGGTCAGGGTCTTTTCAAGAAAATGCTACCATGCTCTTTTGGTGAGGCTCTGAGACTCGGTGATACTGGTTAGCTTGGAATAGAGTAATGAATGAATCCCACAGCAGCAGTAATTCAGCCAGGCATGCACTTACACGCTCCTGATTTCTATACTAATTCCTCCCAGAGCCTCACCTCACATTTCCCATTGATGCAGACCCCTTGATAGGTCCTGTCCTTGCAGGAGGTACCATCCTGTGCTTGGACCATCAGCTGCCTCTCTCCACTTTGGGTAGTGCACTGGAGGTCACATGGCTTACTGGAGATACTGGTGTAGTCATCTGAAGGGACAGAGGCAGAAAGTCACCAGGCAGATCAAGGTACTCAGAGATTGGCAGTGAGAAAGGGGACTTTCCTCTTACTCATGCTGATGTCAGCTTGGATATTCTTGCTGCTTGAGATGAGACCCCAAGGCTACAGATTTTGTAGTACCAAAGTGGGCATGGTATGGGGCTGCAGCTGGGAACCACGCCTAGCAGAAACAGTTCTCGCTGGCAAGCCCTTTTCACTGCCATACCCTCTCCCCTTTGCAATGCCCTGTACCAAACATGGGACTCTGCATTAGCAGATCCCAGGCCACACATAAATACAAAAGAGCAAGCAAGACCTGTAAGAGGGATACTGACTATGTGGGGCTGTGGGCAGGTCCACCCCATTCAGCTCAGAAAGCGAAGCTAGAGGTTCAGCTATGTCCCCTTGGCAGCTAATGGAAAAACAGGTGGGTCCAGAAAGCGGGTAATATCTGTGGTGAGCTCAATCCGGGCCTCAAGGCACAACTAGCAACCCATGTGAAGCAATCTGTCTTGCCTGTACAGGAAATCCATGGGCATCCTGTTCAGAACAACCCACCACCAACCCCACATAAAGCATGCTGGGTGACAGAGGCAGCCAAAATTGTAGAAGGCACAAAGAGCGTGAACACCCACTCTGCCAAGATGACTGCTGGTTAGCCAAGACAACTCAGAGAAGCCTGTGTCCTGTCTGCCCACCAGTGCTTGCTGATGTAGGATCCAAAACAGGAGCAATGTGGTGAGAAAGGAGGCCTGGCTGGGTGGAGCAGTTCTGTGAAAAGACAGGGAACGATTTCTCCAAAGCAGGGAGCATAGGGAAGCACTTCCAGACCAGCCAGGAGCATCCATCCCTTTTCCCCTGGGACCTTCCCCTTCTCCTGTGTCAGAAAATCCTGTGGGTTTTTTCTCTCCCTGATCCTTTGAGTGAAGCTGTGAAAACCCACCTGGATAGAGAGGCATCCAGTGGTAGTAACGCTTCCCAAAGGCTTTGGCATTGAAACTGGAGCACTGCTGCTGTTTGAAGCTTGCTGTGTTGGCTGGGCAGGGCTATGGAGGGAATAAATGTGATCAAAAGCTCCCTATGTCACAGCCATGGTTGTGACAGCTGCATATCCCTTCTGCATCCCTGGAGGATGAAAATGCCCTGTCCACCCTGGAAGGAATCAGTGATAGACTCTGAGATGCTGTAATACAAGCAGAAAGGCCAGGCCTCTGTTGCCAAGGGCCCTTCAGACAGCTGTATTTAACAGTCCTGCAAAACTTACTTCCAGCAAAGAAAAAACATACTGGAAAAACTTTATCCACCTCCCCACCCCACAACAAATACATTTTTATATCCTATTCCCCCACCTCTCAGCCCCAGAGAGTAGAGCCCATCTCTTGTATCTTCAAAGGCACACTGTCACCCACCCCAGGAGTCGATCACACCCCCTGTCTGCACTCTGAGTGCTGCTACTCTTGCAGCTCTCCGAATTTCACATTCCCCAGTGAGGACCAGTTAGTACTGGAAGTTGTTCTTACCTGCTGCTGACACAGTTGGTAGTGCTTGGCTTGACCAACACATATGGTACTGTTTGTTGCCTGGGGTATCTGTAGCCTGCAAACCAGAAAGAAAATGAGCTGGAGGTCTGTGAAGTACTGAGGTAGTAAAGATGACAGAGAAGTTAGGCCTGACTTAAGTGGGAGAAGCAAGGCAAGTATTTTTATCACAGGAAAGCTTTCTGGATCTAGACTAGCCAACATCTCTGTTTTCTGTGCTTCTAGGTGAACTGAGATTTTAGATTAATCTCATTTTGGGACAGGCTGAGCAGACAGGGAGCAACTCCAGTACCACCACCTCTGTGTCTCTTGACCTCTGAGCTCCAAAAGGGTTGATGTGATGAAACGACAACACTCCCATGGAAGTGCAGTGACCAGGGAAGCTGATCTCAGGATTCACTTTGCAGAAGGCAGAGATGGAACCTCTCATGGGGACTGGCCCAGTTAAAAGATTAGCAGATAATGGACCAAAACCATGGGAATTTCTCAACACTTCAGCTCTGGCCAGCAAGGGCTATCCATGGGACACTGGAGTCCTAGATTGATGCAAAGGCAAAAAAATTCTTGAAAGCTGGGAAGATGTATGGAGAATGGCCGAGACCACAGATTAAGGCAACAGTGTGTGTGAGCAGAAGTAGCAGGCAATGTGTTAACAGTATTGGGAACTTAGGGTGCACTGTGTAATGAAGAACTCTGTAGGCATACTCAGGCTGGACTAGCTGGAGGCTCTGCAGCTGTTCCTCTAGAACAATGTTTTACATGATGTAAGCAAAGCCTAAATTTACACCAACCAGCTTGAAAACTGCCATCCTTTCCAGCTGAAGCAGAGGCTTCCTGCAGCCTCAGAAATCATTTTGTGGGCATACCTGGCTCAGACTTAAGCCAGTCTCCTTAAAGCTGAAGAAACCTTTTGACTGGCTTTTATGGTGAGGGTTTTTTTTTGTTTGTTTGAATCTGAATCAATCCCTGGAGTAAAATGTCATAGCAAAGTCCTCCCCTCCCCATTTGTGGTGTCAAGGATACAGCAGATGCCAAATGGAGATGAAAATGTCTCTTCTGTCAGCAGGCAAAGGGCAAACAGGCTGCTCTGGCTGTGGGGGGTATGGGACAGCCCCAGGCTTCTTCCCACACTTTGTTTCTCACTCTTCTCCCATCATGGCCATAGTGTGCCAGGGAAAAGCAATAGCAGAGACATTGGCAAGGTAGCATAGAGGCTACATCCAGACGGAAGGTACTGCAGCACATCTGGACCCTCACCATGCTGTCAAAGAGCCCACATAAAATAAGTTTTCTGCTGAAGGAAGGAGAGCAGGATCCTAGCTTGAGCTTCCTCCACGCAGGAGTGCATCCATGCAGAAGGGAAAGGGGCAGAGTATGCGGTGGGCAGCGCCTGTGAGCTTGCTGTGCTGCAGGATGCTGGCTCTCATTACATCACAGGAGCCTGGAGTAGGAGCTTAGTGAGGTGTGCAGGAAGAGGAGAGCTTGGCGGCAAGGTGACTCAGGAGATACAGCAGGAGTTCAGGCAGCTGAAGTTCCCCAGTACTCCTCACTCCCACAGACCCAGTCCAACTGATACCAGGACTGTAGCAGCTGTAGGGGACAAATGTGGCTATAGGGGACAAATGGAGATGCCAGATATATCACAGAAGGAAATAAACTTGCAAGCTCTGCAGAGAATAAAGAGGGGAAACTGCTGAGATGTGGCTGAGCTAACTGCTGTCATGAGTAAATCAAGTCCCCATAAGGCGTTTGGGAGTATGTATCCACATCCTTAGCACAGGAACTGCCTACAAATTAGGGTTAGGTTGGTCAGAGCTACCACAGCAAGCGAAGGAAAGGGGAAGTGGAATAGAGCTAGCTTTCTTCAGCTCACAACTTTGTCAAATCTCCCACAGACTCCAAAAGGGGACCAACCCCTTGCTCCCTATCAGATGAAGCAGGCTGAGTGGGTGATGTGTTCAGGGGGCCTGTGGCTTGCCCCATTGCAGCATGCTTCTCCCTTGCCAGCCCTCCCCACCACTGCCTGCTCATCACCTACCCCACGGGTCACTGCCACCTTCCTTTCCAAGAGACCAGGGATGAAGACAGAACAGCTGACCCTACAAACTCAGGAGGTTCAGCCCTAAAACATAGGTGAGGGGCACCCCATTTCCCCTCTGCCATTTCAGACCTGGCCAAGGGCTCAGGCTGGGACACAACACACCTCTGTTGCAAGCAGTGCCTCTCCCGGGACATCACGCCTCTTCCGCAGGACCGGGAACAGGTGGACCAGGAGCTCCACTCTCCCCACCACTTGGTGACTTCTTCATCCCAGGAGCCAGCTCCATCTGCTGCCTCACTACTGTCCTGACAGAAATAGAGCATGGTTAGCTGGAGAACCTGGCTCCTCACCAGCCCTGAAACAGAGAAGGGCCTTCCAAAGGCAGCTCCATCAGGGACCATGTCACCAATGGACAGCACTGGGACAACCATGGCAGGATCAAGGTCCTTGTGGGGCCACACCAGGCTCATGCACCTCAAAATTCAAATTTCCCTCGAAGACTGAGTTATGGGAAGGAGAATGCCTCTGGGATCTTATGCCATGCTGTAGAGAAGGGCTGTTGGGCTGGTTATGTGTGACAGTATCATCAGCTGCAGCCTGGGTCAGAGAGAACAGCAGATCATGCTGCCTGCCTAGGTCTGATGCAAGGCCAGGAGAGAAGAGGAAGATCTGCAGTGCTTGGCCATGCAGATGCCTGCCTGCAGGGAAGCTGGGGGTACACATCTATCACTCACTGGAGCTTCATTTCACCAGGTAAACTCTTTGTGATTAAATCAGCTCACATCCAAGCTCCTCTCCCTCCAGCCCTCACAAGCCATTTTCAACAGTGCTTCATAACCTGAGTCTCCTGCAATTGCTGGAGATGGATATTGCAATTGCCAATTGCTGGAGATGGATATTGCAATTGCAATATGCATCCCACTCTTCTCAGAGGTGGATTACTCCATCTCCCAGCATGCCTTGCTGGGGCTGAGCCTTTAATTTTGGCAAAACTGAGCTCTCCTGGCCCCAGTATGGTCATTGCAGCAGGTTGCTGTTGGCTGTGTCTTCACAGTTCCCAGCAGGTAAGAGATTCTGTGCTTTAGCTTCAGGTTTGGGTTTCTTTCTTAGAATATTTTCCTGTTTAGTGTCTGTCTGATGGCTTGAAAACTCCCAAGGACTTTGGCAAACTAGCCTGTGCAGGAATTAATTTGCTGTTCATTGAAATACAGTGAGTAGTGTTAAATGCAGCAATGAATTTAACACAGAACAGTGACTAGAAGGGATTTATCCAGTTGAAACACTGACAATGTTTGAGTACTAGTAGAAGAAAATAAATAATGTGTGTGTGTGAAGTCTGCTATGTTGAAGTAAAGGCTCAGGGAAGTTGTATCAGTGCTACTATCTGTGGCAGTGGCAAATAATCCTCTTGCAAAGAACCAGTCTGCAAAGCTTAACCGATGGACATGAAAGAAAACTCAGCAGGGTTTGCTCATCACTAAATGTGCTCTGTATGCTGTTTTGGTTGTCTGTCTCTTGGCTTTATGCTCTTTCATAGTGTAATACAGCTAAAGTGTTCTTCATCTTGCAGTGTAATTCCTGCATGAAAACTTGTTTTTACAGCATCTGCCAACAGAACACCCTCTGGGCAGAGGAGATGCAGCTGGTTCATGCAAATGTTTTTAAGTTGTAACTTAGAGTGGCTGAAATATGCATAGTGCTGCTTCTTGGAGATAGCCAGAACATGCTGAAAGTAACCTTTTCTTCTGCAGAAAAGCACCATAATACCCAATGCTTTACTCTCTAGTGATTACAATAGTTAATTTTTGAAAACAATAATACGGCAAAACTTTTGGCTGTACTTAGATGTTCTGGCTGGAGTTGACTTGCCTGACAGGGACCAAATGCTGTGGTCAGAAGCTGAGCTGCTCGAGAGAAAAATTAAGCTTACAGGAAACAGACATATTTTCACAAATAACTTTTTCTCTTCTTCCAAATGATCATCTCAACCCATTTCCTATGAGAATTTTTGTCTGACTGTATACTATCAGACTGTACATGGAAATGCTGACTATGTTGCTTTCACACGTAGAAATGAAAAAAAAACAAAGGTCTCTTACTGTAAGGTATTTTTGGCTAGAATCTTTCCCTGACCTCTTCTATGCTTCTCTGTGATAAGCATCTCAAGGCCTGTGGAGAAAGAGCTCTTCACAATTGTTGGGATGGAGAATGCCAATGATTTATCTGGTGTCTGTCCAGAGAGCTCAGCACAATACAGATTCTCTCATTGCTGGGGTAATAATCAAAGCTTGTGTCTTACCAGTTCACTAAATAGCTGCATGAGATGCATGGACAGCCTGGGGAGAAGGCATGTGGACTAAAAGCTGCAATATTTACACAGCTTTTCCCCAGGTGGCAATAAAAATCTGACACTCTAACCAGCAAGATAATCCTGCTCCACAGATCTTACAATCCAAATAGGCAAGACAAGGCAGAAAGGAAACAGAAGGGAAGTTAGATGGGCTGTTCTACTAACTTATCCTAGGTATGAAAAAGACTTTGTGTATCTGGAGTGGGGGAAAGTTGCAGTCTTCTTTCCTGGGTTACTGCTCGGGTGTTTTGCCTTGGTGCAAGGAGACTTGGCATGTTTGGGGAAGATCAGCATCTCTCCCTTTGTGTGCCTCTTTCTTATGGTTAGAACAAGATACGTTTCTCTCCACACTGGGACTTTCAGGGATGACAGGAGCCCAGAGGAAGATTTATTGAAGGATGCTAAGCAAAACCTTTTTTAAAAATAAAATGTGTTTTCCTATATCCATAAATTCTGTTCCTGCTTCCTCATTGCACTGGAGTAATCAATCACTTTTAAAGTAGATTGATTTGGCTCTCAGGTTTTCCATGACCAAGCTCCCTTGCCGATCTTTGCCTAGGAATGCTTATTTTCTTGTGTAAG